TAATAAAATATTTTTTTAGAGATGATAATTAAGTATTTTGTTATAACTCAATGATTATCTTAATTATATTTTAGATTTTTTATATTTAAAATGATGTTTATCATGTACTTAATTATGTTTATCTATAGTTAGTTACACGAATTTTGTCAGCAGTTCGAGTCCGCTTATCTTCAACTCGTGAACTTAGACGAAACTACAGGTTGGACAAATTATTCACAGGAGGAAGAAGAAATGTCAAACATAGAGCTTTAATAAGATGTACTTATGCAGATTCTACTTGTAATATTAAATTTTAAGTAATATGCATAAATACACAATACTTTATGCATAAAAAATTGTTTTTAAGAGTTTTTGTCAGTATAGATGATTACGACTAGGGGTGTTTAAAACCAGAATCATCCAAATTCGAATCCAAACCCGAACAAAAAATAAGATATTTATGCAAAACCCGAATGCCTTGAAATCCAAAAATCCGAAAACCGACATTTTGGAGAAAATTCGGGTTAGGGTTGAGTTTGATTTTTGCCACCCGATCCGTCCGAAAATCTGAAATATAAATACATATATATTTTAAATACTATATAAATATACTTATTTATTTAGTTATCTTTCAAGAATTCTAAAAATCTTAGTCGGTCATGTTTTTTTTTAATTTCTAGGCATGCTATCGATAAATCGATTGAATTCATCGTTAAAATCGATTGGATATATATATATATATATATATATATTTGGCATTATAACTAAACTCGAACCCCACCGACCTTAACCCGACCCCAAAGCAATCCGAAATCCAAAAATTGGGGATTGATTTCAATATTCCAAATCCGACTGGGTTTTTGATTTCCCACCCGAACCCGTCTAATGCACACCCCTAATTACGACCATCTCGATCTTCAAATCGCTTTAGCAAATAACATGTAAATCTTTAAAAAAAATCTAACTTCGAAAAATCATCTCGATCTATATTACAGTTCAAAAGTTATTACGCTTAAAGTGATTAATTACTATGAAAATTGTTATGAGATTAAATGTTATAACAAACTAGTGTTTGACATCGCACGTTGCACGATGATAATAATTTTTTTTAATTATTGAAGTTAACTAAATGAATCGATGATCACATTTATATATTAAATTAATAAGAATCAATGTTACCTTTGATATATGAATCTACCCACCTCATTTGATTATCCATATATTTTATACAAATTTTATAAAAAAAACAAATTAATCCCGAATACAGTACAAACAACCCCGAAAACACACTGTTTCGAGCCACTTAGAGTCATAACCGACTTTCGACCCTTCATGAAAGTAGTTGCAAGATACGAGCATATTCCGATTTACAGTTTGTGAGTTATACATTATCAAAGTACGGGAGCTGGACTGTTGGTAAAATCCAATTTCACAATCTCTCAACTAACTTTTATGATCTCAACTTCGTGTATTCAATCAAACGGATAATTTTCTCCCCGACTACGAGTCCCATACTACCCCCCCCCCCATAAACTGAAAATCCATAACCCCAATTGTTACGGTAATATCTTTTAGTTGTCTTATGCTTGTTTAAACAACCTCGGTTAATCTTGTCTTTCTTATTATGTTAAAAATAATTGAAACTCGTGTTTTTAGTCATTTGATAAATATACTATTATTATATTCAAGTATTATGTAAATAGA